GCCATTTTAATTTTTTAAACTTAAATTACTAAAAGATGGCTGATTTTATGATAAATTTCAAGAACACTTTTATTTGGCATTTTTAATTCTCTATCAAACGATAAGTCCAAGTTGAAAAAGACCGAATAAGAAGTAACTTAAATATTGCGGGGTTAAGTTGAAAAATGGGGCAAACCTGGCTAGCTTAGCCTTTTTCTACCCCATTTTACAACTAGAAATAGTAATATTTCATCTATTTCTTATTCGATTTTTGAACTTGGTACCGTTAGATACGGAAACAAAAATACTAAAAAAAGTTTTCTTGACATTCTTTCATAAAATCTGCCATTTTGTAGTAATTCAATTTTGAAACACTAAAATGGCCGCCATTTTGACAGTTTAAGTTGAATCAAGATGCACTATAATTCTAACATTGGTCTTTTCTAACTATACACACATAGCAAGTTTCATAATGATCGGTTGAAAAAATTCAAAAGATAAAAATACTCATGTAAAAAGTACGAAATGGTGGATAGCTGGTCAACAAAGTGATTTTGGAAGAAATGTTATTCTTGATTTTCACTTTATTTTGACCCAAGGGATCACCACGTAAATTATGTCCCCACCTTTTTTGAACACCCTGTATAAATCTAAAAGCCAAATAAAGAGATGAGATAAAGTAAAAGCCATTTTATATTGCAAGTAATTATATTTCCATTAAAAAGCAAGTATAACGTCAAAAAAACTTCAAAAGTAAAATACATGAATTGTTGAGGAAGAGCAGTTTCACTATTGGAATCTAACTGTAGGAAGTTCTATTTTGTCTCTTCTAAAATATAATGCTACCAGTAAATTCTTGAATCTTCAATTTTTACCGCACCTATTTCATGTGTTACATTAATTTATTCTTAAAATATATTCATGGAATGGAGTTTAGGGGTAAATTTTAGGGTTGGTACCTCAAGGTTAAATCTACTGCATGTGCATATATCTCTAATTAAAGCCAAATTAAGTACGGTATACTAGTATTTACAATCAGTCAATTATGTACTAAATAATCAGTAATTATTTTATCAAGCTAATATTTGATGTAAGCTCTGATACATAAAGTCTCTGATTTAAAGAACACTATATAAATCAGTCAGTAAATGATTATTTTATTTTTTTATTTTATAGTTGTAAGATACAACACAAACATCGCCGCTCACAACTGTTTTGCTGAGTTTAAATAACTCAGAAAATAATCAGCTTTTACAATATTTATTATGATTATAACAAATATTTATAAGTGTTTTGATGCACCAAACAAAAACAGATACATTTTATAACACAGATGGTTCAACTAAATAACCGTAACTTAGTTCCAGATCCTTGAAAAAATACTGCCTTTACAAGGGTAATGGTTGCACAAACAACCCTTACGCTAAAATTTAGTGAGCTTTATTTAAACAAAGTTTGGTACTAAAGAACCAATTTCGATCAAATGTAAAACAGACAAAAGTAGTGACAGTATTATATTTTTTTAATCAACAGTGTAAAAACACAGCTCATATTTTCAATATTGACTATACTTATCCTTAAACCAGTTATTAAAATACGAATTCTTATCTGTATAAAGTACATTTCTTACTTCATAATGTACACAAATTAATTAGAAATGTTTTCATTTATACTGTTTGAATTACTATAATTGAAAAAAAAACTATTTATTTCAGAAATATAAATAATACATAAATATGTATGTTCAAAAATACTCTGAAATAATAATTATTTACTAAAGAATTGTTTGATATAATTACATTGGCTGTCCAGATATTAATAATGGATGTTTTGAAGGTCTTATAAGAATGAAAACATTATACCATTAGTATTTAAGAATTATTTTAAGCTTAAATTTGTTTTGGCTGTTTCAAATGACGCGCAAACTAGAAGTTCAATTTTTGACTATTGTATATAAAGGATGAATTTTAAATGAGTTCCCCCCCTACTTTTTTCTACATTTCTTAAGATATCAACTTCGGACCACGTCAGATCATTGAAGTGTAGTAAGTACTTAGTTTTGACTGGGTGTACATTTTTAGCCGCCTTCTTGGATCCGCCATATTGGATACAAATTCTTTTTTTCAAATGTAAAGGCAGGGTTGTGACCCATTGTTTCAAACTAGAATAATTTTACGCTGATTACAATGCCGCAATTAGTTTTTAAAAATCTTGATCCGTTCTAAAGTTATGAGGACTTTTTATAACTTTATTTTTAGCCCATTTTAACATTGTGCATTTGCAAATTAAGACCATAATCCCAAAATAGTGCTAGATAAAGATAAGTATACACCACCATTCATTGTCGACCTATTATCACTTGGTTATGACGGATTTATTTTTTTCGGCCGCCATCTTGGATCTGCCATTTTGAAATGTGATAAATTAATTTAAATATGAAGGTGGTGGTTTTAGCAAGATATGGCAGCAATAGTGACAGATCTACTTGACTTAACTGTCAATTTCTAAATTGTATTAACTGGGAAAGCTTTGAGTTTCAGAAAGATGAGTTCTGTCTTGGGTTGCTGGGCTGGAGTAAATCGCCCCCCTTTCACCAAAGTCTGAGCATTATTTTTCCAAGTATTTATTAAGTAATTAGTATTTTCTTCGTATATTTATGAATGGTTTTATTTTGTATGTTTTTGTGTGTGTCTTTATACTTCACCTTACATACAGGGTTGGGCAAATGTGTGGATACCCCTAGTTAACTTTTTAACGCGTTGCAATAGGAAAACCTAACTCGACACATATTTACAACATAAGAAATTGCACTTTTTCATCAAAGTTACAACTTTGCCCCAGCCCCCAAAATGGGGTATTTTGGGGGCAGCCCCAAATTTTCAAATGTAAACACCCCCATTGTCAAATGTGACCCCTCATTTTAAAGTGTTTATTAAGAGAAATTGAATGGCGCAAACCAGAGGTCAATATCGCACGCCTAATCAAAATGGCAGCCATTTTAAATTAACATGAGCAATCATGATAAAGTCTGGACACCCCCAGTTATCTTTATAACGTGTGGCAGTGGGAAAACCAAACTTGGCACATGTTTACAACATAAAAAAATGCACTTTTTCATTTAAGTTAGAACTTGTACCCGGCCCCCAAAATGGGGTATTTTGGGGGCAGCCCCAAATTTTTAAAATAAACACCTATCATATGACCCCTCATTTTAAATGGTTTCTCAAGACAAATTAAATGGCGCAAACTAGATGTCAATATCACACCCCTAATCAAAATGGCAGTCATTTTGGAATATCCCCTATTAATTTTTTAACAGTTTATAGCTGGAAAGCTGAACTCAGCATACCTTTATGAAAAAAGAGAATTCACCTTTTGGTCAGTATTAAAATATTTAATTTTTAAAGTTAACTGGGGGTGTCTAGACTTTATCATGATTGCTCATCTTAAATAATTAAAATGGCTGCCATTTTGATTAGGCGTGGGATATTGACCTCTGGTTTGCGCCATTCAATTTCCCTTGATAAACCCTTTAAAATGATGGGTCACATGATAGGTGTTTACATTTGAAAATTTGGGGCTGCCCCCAAAATACCCCATTTTGGGGGCTGGGGCAAAGTTGTAACTTTGATGAAAAAGTGCAATTTCTTATGTTGTAAATATGTGCCGAGTTTGGTTTTCCTATTGCAACGCGTTTAAAAGTTAACTAGGGGTATCCACACATTTGCCCAACCCTGTAGTTTCTTCTCGTATCATTGTAAATAATCAATTATTGAATTTGTAATTTCTCACTTATGTGTTACTTGCTTTACTTTACTTTTTTTTGTTACTTACTCACTTATATGTACTGTAAGTGTTAAATCTGTCTGCTATTTTCGAGCTTTGATATTGTTAAAAATCTTTTTTTGATTCCTGGACATATAATGTAAAATGGCGAACGCCGTGTAACAAATAAATTAATGTGGTCACATACCACACAACAAGAAACACCCTTAATTTGTTGTTTTATCGGTTTTCAAATAGGTATACAATAAGTATATTATTAAAAAAAAAAACTTTAACTAGCCTTAATGCAATGCATATCACATCAATGGATTATTTGCTAAGCAGTAATTTGAAGCACTAGTAACTTAAAATAAGGTAAACCACAGACATTAAATGACTTAGAACATGAAATTTGTTGTTCACCACATTATTGTTAACGTTTATGTCACTTCGGGTGATGAATTACTTCCTGATAGTCAAAATAAACTATTTATAAACTGTGCATCTCACCGATTTTGTCCTTATGTATAACATATAAATTATTTTATATTTTATATTCATATGAGTTACATGAGTGTTTTATACCGATTGTTTCCTCATGTCCAAAATAATTGCTAAACACTAAAACTATAATCGTTGTTGTTATTGCCTGTTGTAAAGTTACCGTCATTACTGCTTGTTACTTGTTACCATTATTACTAGGCATAGTCTTCTTGTTGTTATTTATTGTAATTTTTAGGTCCCACTCATGTATTTATTGCCAGCTTCCTTATTTATTATTATTGCACGATTTTTGTAACCACTGATATTAACTTATTATTTGCTACTTATGTATAGTTCATAGTTCGACAAAATTGTATTAATGGAGAAACCGTTGGAATAAATAAATAAATAAATAAATAAATAAATAACTAAAGGCATCAAATTTACTTACCTTCAAGGGCAATACTATGTGTTTTAACATAATCTTATTTTAAGGTCTACAGAAAACTCATAAGTAACATTTCTCAATATCTTAACCATAAATTTAAATCTGGCACATCCATTTGGTAAACAGAGACTTTACTGGAAGCACTAACTGTATTTTTTCAAACGTATTTCCATCCTGTATAAAGCTATTTATACATATATTGCAAAAAAAATATCCTTCTAACTGAGGGATTCCCGAACATTTTTGTATTTGAGCAGCCCACCCTAAATAAAAAAAATATTCAAGTGCCCCCCCCCCTCCCATTACACACTAAAATGTTTGTCAATGAGAAAATACAAGTAGCCTACTGCGTTGAAAGCTAAATATTTATTTTCACTGTTACAAAACAATAGTACAAATTTAAATTTAAGTTGAACAAGTATTGTAAATAAAGTTTTATAGAGATCAATGAAGTGTATTTTCAAACTGGTTCGTGTTTTTACTAGGATCACACTAAGTTCTTCCAGCAAGACCTAGAAATTTTGTCAAATAAATTTATTTCTATTCCACATAAAAAAGAAACACTCATTCACACTAAAAATGCTTATAAATTGTCGCTTAAGTTTGTGTGTCATATTGGGATATGCTTTTAAAGGATTTACCCAAAATTATGATTCGCCGTTTTGTCATAGTGGTATATGTCAGAAATTTGGATTTATTAGATCTAAAACATTCCTTGAGATGTTTCGTGATGTTGAACCAGCCATTTGTCAATTTGTTAATATTTCCATTAGCTGTTTAAGAAAACAGTTTTGTAATACATATTCTTTAAATACCTTTAGCCTTTAGCCCCTAGTTTGAGAAACCCTGTGATAACTATATACAGCGCAGTTTTACTAAATAGCAATACATAATTCAAAATGTGCACCTGCTACATTAAGTTTATCTGGTTAAGCTCAAAGTATAAGTTTACTTACTAACTCTACTTATTACAATTCCGAAATGGTTTTCGGGGTAAAATGAATAGTAATAATAATATTACTCTGTGAAATACAATTCTCGCCCGTAAAATCGTCCAGTATTTGTTTGGTGCAGAGCAATTAAGAGGCAATTTCGTACGTATCAACTACTCATATTATGAAATTTAATTATGAGAAATAACAAAAACATAAAACATGAACATTATAACCTATAATTGTTGACAGTTAAGATAAGCACTTAAGTCTACAGTGTCTTTGCTGAATGGCAGAGACAAGCCTCGAATCGCAAATACTTAATATTACACTTAATCGATATGTTACAAAAGCATCTATTTACAAAGTTCTGCCATGGTACGAATGCAAAATTACAAATTATGTACAAAATCGTTATTTGTTACTTATTTATAACAAAATCGAGGTTACAGCAGAAGATCTGCAATTAATTACAAGAACTCAGCAAACTTTATCCAGTAGGAACAATTAAGAATGAAGAAAAGAAGCGGGAAGAAGACTCTAGAAAATCTGTCTATGTTGATGGCTCGGGTGCGATTCCGTTGTGCTTGGGATGGTCTAGGTGGCACGGCCGGTTGTCCGGTCAATAGGCGAGCGTTCTCCTAGGACAAACAACACTACAACAACCACTAAATAACCGCACATCCACAGTCCGTTGTGCTTGGGATGGTCTAGGTGGCACGGCCGGTTGTCCGGTCAATAGGCGAGCGTTCTCCTAGGACAAACAACATTACAACAACCACTAAATAACCGCACATCCACAGTCCGTTGTGCTTGGGATGGTCTAGGTGGCACGCCACATCCACAGATTCCTTGACGAAACAAATACAAATTGAATTGCAAGTGAAATGTGACCCCACCAGGTTGAGAGCATTTCACTTCAAAAGCATGGAAAATAATTTTACCTCAATTGAAAAGGGTAGCAGAAACTGAAGAATAAAAAATGGCTTCCAAGGTTTGAAATGGTATGAGAATAGAGAAAGCCTTAGTTACGGGTAACTAATCCCGTAGACTTGGGAAGAGAGGAGATGTGGGTTGGGGTGTGAAGTGCTGGAAAACTGAAAATATTCCCAATCAAGTTGGTTCCCTTGGAGCCAGGTGTTTGGGGGATCAGTGTAAGGCACTGAGGGAACACCTTCAATTAGCAGAGACTTCTGGGATTTGATAAAAAAGGCCTGGAAGAGGGAGCTATAATATATACATTAGATGGATACAATTGCAGGGTTTGGGTTATCACAAGCAAAAACTTCAGAAAACATATTAGAGAAAGTTTCCCTCGTATCGGGTGAGAACTTTCTAGCAGCTGCAAAAGTGGACGTTTAAATACAGTTTATATCCTAGCCAATAATTGCTTTCAGACCTTACTCTCAGTATGCATAATGGTCAGTCAGACAGGAGCACAGTCTTCAGTTGCAGATAAAATCTGCAGAATATTCGCTGCCACAAACAAACAAAGTATTTGTATAAGTTGGCCCTCAGGTAGCAAATAAATGTAATTGTAAAACAAAAATAACTAAATAAATAATAACTAAAATATAAACTCTCGTACGGGACTCAATGTACATGTTGATGATACATTACCTTAGCAGCAAGGTCGAAGATCTTGTCTGGTTTGAGGACCTCCGTGGGCTTTGGAGGTAAGTCAGAGTCTCCCAAAACAATATTAACTAGACAGTACTCCATGAGCGCCATGAACACAAATCTGCAACATCAAGGAACATACTGTAGTATGAGACTACGTTGATAGGTTAATATCACACACATTCAATGGTACAGTAAGACGAGATCGGTTTGATTGGGGTTTCTGTATATCATCTATTGTTGCATCTATTGTTGCATCATTGTTTTTTGTAACTGTTACATCAAGGAAATATATAGAATTGTTGTTTTCGTGGTCCATTTTGAATTTAGTAGTATTAAATTGTTAAAATATTGAGATGATTAAAAGTGTTTGAGCTTGTAACATTTCCCATTAAAATCGTCATATTTATTACCTATTTAAATAACCCTAATTTTAATAAGTAATTAGGTTTGCTGCTACAAGGAAGGTAATAAGGTGTGTGTTTTTTTAATTGGCAATTTGATAGTTTAGTATTATACAAACAAATTTGCCAAATTCGATTAAAATATGTCCATAAAAGAGCAAACTAGAACAGTTTATTCTCCGTACAAATAACATGGGAAGTTTAATTTATAATTTTTGGAATTTTCTGCGTTACTGTTATTAATTTAAATACCCCCGCCGCAGCAAACCTGCAGACTAAGCGAATTTCCATTTGACTGATTGGATTTACACTGAAATGTCTACTTAAAAATATAACATTTATTCCCGATTTAAATAGAATTAGTTTAACAAGTACTTAGGTTTGCTGCATCAGGGAGGGTAAAATTGTTTTTTTTTTGTAAAATGTTAATAGTTAGTAAGAAATAAAAACATTTTCCAAATTTGATCAAAATATGTTCATAAACAAGCAAACTACAACAGTTAACTTATTCTCCATAAGAATAACATGGGAATTTTAAATTTACAATTTTTTGGAATTTTCTCTGTAACCGTTAGGCGCATAATAACGCTTCAATAATATACTAAATTATTTGTTTTTTTAAGCTCTACAAAATGGTTTGGAAATAAATTGCAAAATTTTAAGTTTTTTGGGTCAAAAATGGGAAAAACCTATTTTTACCCCATAAAACCCCCCGTAAACACCCGTTCCCATGGTCCGATCGTGCTGGATCGCGAACTCGTTCGAATAAACGTAGGTTTACACGTTTGTACCAAATTTCATCAAAATCGGATCATTTTTGCTCGAGTTATCGTGCTGACGGACACATATATATATATATATATATAAATATATAAATATATAAATATATAAATATATATATATATATATATATATGAATTTGAACGGATGGTGTTTTTGGCCTCTAGGGACCTCAAAACGAAAAAAAAAATTGGTCCCGCGTCCAGGTCTTACCATGAGTACTACGGTAATAGCTTATTCCCTATATGGGAAATTCGCTAAAAATGATTTAGTGTTAGAACTCGTGTATATAAAAAACTAAAAATTAAATAAAAAGAACTTTTCCAATATTATATATAAACAAACTGGTTTAATTCTGAAACATTAACAAATAATTAAACATTTCTCTTTTACTAAATTGTTGTGTTCCCTTAAAATTCTTACAACAACTCTTCTCGTTCATTTTATAAATTAAAACATGAAACATCTGTTAATAAAAAACAAAGACTAACAAATAATTAAATTTGATGTTGATTAATCTTGAATTTGTACTATATAAAAAATTACTCAATTTCCAACACTTTAGTATACTAAATTATTATTTGTGTTTTAAGCTAAAATAGTTTGGAACGAAATTTTAGAGAAATCAATATTCAAACATGTAACAGCAATAACGACTTCTGCTGGTAGACTGACCCGCAAAACATATATGTACTGCGTCCCTGCGTTGAAACTATTGAAGGTGACAAAATATATTCCGTGCAATTAAAAACGGCCCCGGAAAGATGTGATCAGGAGGTGAAGTACACTCATCTCCATTCTTACTTGGCTTAAAATACCCACTTTGTATGTTCACCATTTCAGATTAAAGTATTAAAGTAAAGTATTAGTTACATTATACTTCAGTAACAGTTTAATTGCAGTTAAAAAACTACATGAAAACACATTTCTGGTCTGTTTAAGGGGTTCAACGCAGATCAAATATAAAACCCAAAAGGAAGTAAACATTAAACTTTGGAGACAAAGTAGTAGTAGTCAATTATTAAAATTGAATGTTGATGTAACTCAGTTACGGTTTAAGGGGGGAAATCGTAAATCAGTTTTTCTATAAAATAAACTCAAATATAACTAATCAATTGTTAGGTGTACTGAGTTTACACGCCAAAAGACCACAGGGAAAACTAAGATACGATTCCCCCGCCGCAGCAAACCTGCAGACTAAGCGAGTTTCCATAATTTACCTGGTTAAATTTTCACTAAAATATTTCCTTATGCACATGTCGGATTTATTTCCTATTTAAATAGCATTAGTTTTATGAGTATTTAGGTTCACTACTTTTGTTGAAATGTTAATAGCTTAGTATGAATTGGACAAACTTGTATAATTTTACCAAAATAAATCCCTAAACAAGCAAAATACTGTAAAATGGTTTATTTATTCTCCATAAGAAAAACGTAGGAATATTAAATTTACAAATTTGAAATGTTATCCAAAGACATGAGGCATAAAATAACGCTTCATTATACTAAATTATTTTAATTTTAAGCTCTACAAACTAGATTATAAATAAATTGTACAACTTTTTTTGGTGGGTTGAAATAGGAAAACCCAATTTTTACCACGTAAAAATGCCCCGTGCCCCACGTAACCACGTCCCCATACATCATGCTGGTTCGGAAGTTTACTCGTTTGTACCGAGTTTCATCAAAATCGGACGATTTTTACTCAAGGTATCGTGCTAACGGACACATATACAGGGTGTCACACGATATACGTAGCGGGCTCTGCAGAACCAATCATAACCAAAATACCCCCGCCGCAGCAAACCTGCCGACTAAGCGAATTTCCATTTGTCTTAATTGATTTTCAATTAAATATATTTTAATAACATTAGGTTTAACGAGTACCTAGGTTTGCTGCTACAAGGAAACTAATAAAGTGTGTTTTTTTGTAAAATATTGATAGCTTAGTACAAAATAAATAAATTTGATCAAAATACAAAATATATCCATAAACAAGCAAACTATATTTGACAATATTCTCCATAAGAATAACATGGGAATTTTAAATTTAAATTTTTTTAATTTTCTCCGTTACTATTAATCGAACAAAAATACTTTCATATGAAAGTATTTTTGTTCGATTAATAGTAACAAAAATACCCAGTACACACACAGTACAGTACAATACAGTACAATACAGTTTAGTAGTAGTAGGCCCTAAATTCATTGTTTTTTAAGCTCTTTAAAAAGGTCTAAAGAGAAATTGGGAAATTTTGTGTTTTGAGGGTCAAAAGTGAGACAAACCAATTTTTACCCCATAAAATCCCCCGTAAAGCCCCGTTTCTACTGTCCGATCATGCTGGTTCGCGAACTCATTCAAGTTTATCCCGCTTTACACCTTTAAACCAAATTTCATAAAAATCGGACAAAAATTACTCAAGTTATCGCGTTCACGGACGTATATATAAGTCTATATATATATATAAATTTGAACGAATGGTGTTTTTGGCCTCTGGGGACATCAAAATGAAAAAGTAAATCGGTCCCGGGTCTAGGTCTTACCGTGCCACCTACGGTAATAGCTACTTCCCTATAGGGAAATTCGCTAAAATGAGTCGAAAATGCTATTTATTATTATTTTTTACTTCCGCTTGTTTCAGTCATAATCCTCCATTTTGCAGTTTTACAAAAATATTATAATAACTCAAAGCCTCTTCGTTATATTTCATGAAACTTGGTAATCTTCAACGTAATTGTTCCTAAAAGTCTAAATTTGTGTATACAATTTTATAACCTTCAAAATGGTGGCCTTTTGAATATACCAAAGTTAAATTTCATGAAAACATGATTTTAAACCAAAATTAAGCATGTCATTATCATTATCATCATTATGCATGTATATTATGTATGTTATTTATTGTTATGTTAAAGCACGACTTAATTCAAATCCAATTCTACGGTTGATAAATGATCTAGTTATGGATATTCTAATGTAAAATTAAAAATAGCGCCCATTTCATTTTCAATTTTGTAAATGGTTAAAATCCTAAAGGATACTAAATAATTAAATAAAATAGGCATAGTTTATCAACTAAAGCGTCTTTAGGATCTTAAACATTGTAAACATAAAAACAAAATGACTGCCATGATTAAATTTACGAATCTCTTAAATAAAGTTCATAGCCTATAGTTTAAATCAAATTTGTACGTGTGATACATAGCTACTTGTTGGTGAAGTACCTACACGGTACAGGCTGACATAAAAGCATCGACTGCCTTTAGATAGGAGACAGGAGGAAGCGACGCCTGAGACTTGGCGTGTTGAGTAGAAAGAGTCAGCAGGGATGTCACCCCTAGGGTCACTCTCGCTGGGGCAGCCTCGGGTTTGATCCAGAAAGACACCCACTGGAATAGTCAATGGATTATTAAAGCAGGGGCTTACACATAAGTGCACACCTTGTTGCAAGGCCTAATACTGTAGGTGCATAGTGAAGAGGTAGAGGTAGAGATAACGCTGAAGTTAGAGGTAAATATTGATATAGAGGTGAATTTGGACGTAGAGATGTGGAGGTGAAGGTGGAAGTAGAGGAAGAGGTAGAGGTGGAGATAAATCTGAAGTTAATAAGAGGTAAATATTGAGGTAGAGGTAAATGTGCACGTAGAAATGTGGAGGTGAATGTGGAAGTAGAGATATAGGTAGAGGTAGAGGTAGAGATAAATCTGAAGTTAGAGGTAAATATTGAGGTAGAGGTAAATGTGCACGTAGAAATGTGGAGGTGAATGTGGAAGTAGAGATATAGGTAGAGGTTAGAGGGAGAGTGGGAGGTGGCTTTTATTACCTCCGTGTGTTCCTCTACTCCCTCCTCGTGCCAGTGATACAGGATAAAACCAACAGATAATATTCCATATACTGGCCATGGTCAATAGAATAGGATAACTTACCGACATGATAACTATGAGACAGGTTGGTATGTATGTATGGAAGAGGTAGTAACCCAGCCGTCGTTTGAGCACAAACACCACCTCCAGGCATGTAAAGTTACCTGCAAAAATACTTAAAGATTAAAACTCCGTAGACATATTTCAGACCAAAATGAGATATTAAATGAGATATTAAATTTAAATTATCGTAACTGTTGCTGGAGAAAAAAAAACTAAAAAACTGTATTTTAAATTAATTACTCTGCGACTTTCTGTTCTCCTGTGGCAAACCGTTAGTAAAATAACGACATAGAAAAAACCGTTTCCCTTTCTCTTTGGACCTTGAAGCTACCACTCAACCATAACTCAAATACTTAAATTTTAACATGCCCCGAGGATGGAGTGCTGCAACGCATCCGACACGTCACGACGGATCGAATTTTTGCAAGTTAAAAAACGACATGATCTCCAGAAGACCGGACTCCACGGTTTCCAATATGTAAACAGGGTTTAAAATATTAGTATTCTTAAACGAAGGTTCGTGAATCCCAATAACATTAAAACTAAACCTAAACATTTAAGTGACTTACCAGTGGAGTATACTTGGGTGCAGTCGGCTGTGTAGTTCTTGACCAACTGGAGTTGAGGGAGTTCAATATTCTCATCAACCACAAGCGGGACATCAGGGTCCCACTGGAATATCATATCGTCCGTTGTGTGAGAAACTGAAACAGTTCAGTGACACTAGATGCATTCTTTACATTTACAGTACAAGGGAACGGTCGAATCAGTGGTGTTTTTACTGATACAGGGCGAGTCAGACCACACGTGCACATACAACGGGGTATACAATCGCTTGTGTAAATCACTGACTCACTGATCAGGTATACAAATGTTTACCACTTCTAGAATAGCTAGGGATCTGAATTTTTTTGTGGAGGTCCGTTTCGGTCCCAAACAACCCATAAAAAAAATTACATCCTCCCAAATTATCATAAATTCCCTTTCTTTAGAAAAACACATTTTTTTACGGCTGTAGCTCGAAAACTGTATTAACAAAGATTTGAAAGAATATTCACAGTCATTAATTAAATTCTCTATAAGACACTCTTCGTTTTTCGAAAATCGCACTCCTTACTTTAAAAAAACGTCCTACTTCTAAAATTTGTAACTTTCTTGGAGTTTCGACATGTTTTTAATTTTTAAAATTACTTTTCGGGTGTTTATTTGCACTTTCAGTGATCCAAACATTGAAAGAAAAGTGCCTAAAGTGACATTTTAAAATTGTAACCCACAAAAAAATTGAAATGGTGGGTTTTCAATAAAAAGGGTAGTTTTTTAACGCTTGTTGGGCTAAACCGTTGTGCACTCTGCATAACGAACACCTTTTGCTATATAGCATCAATAATTGATAGCCCGATAATTATACACCTGGATCCAGGATTGAAATGCTTTATCAGTGAACAGGAATATATCAGGCTAATGTGGTACGGAGCAATAAATTAAGAGACTCAATGTTTGTTTTAGAACTAAGAAGCCAAATTCTAATTTACTAGAATTCGGGATTGAGATATGTTTATATTAAATGCAATGCAATATTGGTAGAAAGGCCAAGAAGAGGAGATTTTTGTTATATTTTTAAAATTTCTTAAATCAAAATCTTCCGATTAAATTGGGTAATATCCGGGGGTATATTCCGGTGATATGGTAAACCTAGACAATCTAACAAACTTATAACTATTTAATTTTGACTGTTTCATTTAAACTAGTTAACAGTTTAATTATATAATTTTTGCCCATGCAGCCAATGGAGTCCGATTCACTAAATGTAATAGCTACTATAGCTACTAAAGTAGGTAAAGATAACTACTATAGGTTGTATTGTAATAACTTACGACTCTCCATTTGTAATTTACATTCTTGTGTATCGTGGGGATAGATCATGAAGTTCATAGCACAGGATAGAGTCAGCGTCAATCTGTGAATGGTAAAAAAGTTTATGTCAAAAATTGAAACTATTTTTTTATTTAAAATTGTGTTCCGAATTTGTTAATCGTAAATAATATACGAATATCTCATTTATAATAAATAAAAATACTACTTTGCAGCTCATTTTGAATTTAAATGGACAATCAATACGAAGCCCAATTATTTTATATGATTATAGCCCAATTCAATTTAAATGCACCTACAATGTAGGCATATATAGGTATAATCGTAGAAAACTGAGGAAGTCAACTAGATAAATTGGAATTTTTAAAGCAAATTATAATTAATTGTAGAATAAGCAGGCGAAGTATCGTTTTAAATTGAGTTAAAGTTAAAGGGTTAAACCTTCTCAGGAAGAGGTTAGTTTTTACCTTAGGGAATTGAGGAATTAAACCGATTTAAAAGTGGGTTTTGTAATATACAGTATGTTAATTGTTAACAAAGTAAAGTGCATGATAAAAATACAGCTCATCACACTGACCAACGGTATCTTTTCGACCGTCCCTTGCTTTCGAAGCTGTTGTAAAGATACACTTTAGGTCCAAGTGATGAAATATTTTATTACAGAAAGTATTTCCCTTACTTGACCATGTAGAGGATGGTCTTATCCTTGTACAGCCACATGTAGTGATTCGGGATCGTCATAGTTTGGAAGGTAACCGCTTTGGCATTCTTGAAAAAGGAATCTGGTCGCCACATATTTTTGAGCCATTCCACCTCCAATAATCTGGAAACATCAAGTTTTTATTCAATCTGAAAAAACATAAACATCCTGTCGATTAATCGTTAACTAATACAGTGTTTAGGCTGGTTTAGGTTAGTTCCGCCCGTTTTAGGCCTATTGCATAGGGCGTGTTGTCTTTTAACTATTATTTTTGGGTGGTTAAAAGATTTTCCACAATTTTAACCAAAGAAATTAGCTTTTTAATATTTATTTTCTTATGGTATCATAACCAAATGGAAACCACTAATCGTAATATCCTAATGTAAATATAATTTCGTTGCATTCAAAACATTTAGTCGGTATTAGTGCACCCAGAGGTCACTAACATAATATACCAACGATATACATCCCTACACATAAAAAGAGACTTCAGTATTTAAAGAGGGTGAAAAGTCAATTAATTATATAACTAAATTTGTTTGGGTTACAACAAATAAATGTTGGAAACCCAAGACCACAAACTAAATAGAAGTAATTAAATGAATAATAAATACGTCTAATTAAAACGGCTCACCAAGCAAAAGGAACTTGTTTGTAGTGATCTATGTGGTTGAAAGAATTCCCTACCTATATTCTGAGGTCATGTTTTCAGGCAACGTTAGTCTGTTGTCCTTCCACGTCTGAGCAAAGAAAATGTCTGCAGCGTATGTCTGAAAATCGGGCACAGTTTTAACATAACTAATCTTCATAAGCTAATGTTTAGTAACGTAAAGAAGGTTCTGTATTCAGCTGGTGTCTCTAGGGCAGAGCTTGTGGATGAACATTTACCACAATCTATCATCTTCAGTACATTAATCAACCGATTTTAGTGTAATCTTTTGTCTTTTTCTCTACGTTGTCGGACGATATTTTGTCATGGCGCCTAACTATTAGGTTTATTTATGTAATTGATCAGCACCTTATTGTTTTATTTATTATTTTAATTAATTATTATGGTACTAAAATTGTGGTGAACAAAAATCCCCGTAGTATTGTCAAGTGATCCTTTTTTTCGTTAGACAACCACGGTTTTTTGTATAGTTGTTCGGATTTCTTAAGTAGGCCAGAATATGTTGTTATTGTTACCTTTAAACGTATTGGTTCTGTTGTGAAAAATCAACAAAACTAATTGGCTCGTGTTATTGAAACATAAAAAGGCCTTATATTCCTTATTTCTAACTTAAAATGTATCAGTACAATTCATACTGAACAGTTTGTACTGTACCGGCTCACCCCCTTTCCCCAGCTCTGTACGTCGACAATCAGGCCTTTGAGCCAATTAATTTGAGTTAATGTAGAGGGGGTTAGGTAAACAGGTCCACGTTTGATGTGGACGTGCAAATGCAAGGTAAAATAGGTCACCGATCTTAAAAAATAAAAATAAAATTAGTAAATAAACGGCATCAGCAATCTGACACACCCTTTCTCCCATTAGCTTGTCAACATTATTTATCATTGGGTATATACCACTATTACTATACACTATAATTAAAAATGTCACATAGCGGAACTATAATGTTTTATGTTGAAAATCACAAAATTTGCAATAACTTTTGGACAGTAATTTACAGCAATGGGATTTGTAGCGTTTGATTTTGGGTTAAAAGGACAACAATTACTAATACTAATACATATATATATATACATATATGTATGTAGGGTAATTACATACTAGGCCTAATATTAGTTAAATAGTTTGGGACGTTTTTGTGAAGATTAGATTTTTATGTTGTTTTATGGCGAAATTACCACTAAAAATCAAAATACAAAAAACTTGTAAAAATGCCTGGAGGTACCAAAGTTTAGTACCCACATACTAAACTCCATCAAATCAGAGAACATGTGTGTTATGCGGCTCTGTACACACCCACACACACAGACATTACTACGGAAACCACTTTTTGGGTTCGGGGTACCTAAAACCGAAATATTTACCCATAATCCAAACTAAAAAGCTTTGACGAAAACAACACTTTCTCCCTATACTATGTATAGGGGGAGAAAGAAAAGATTCTATTCTATTCTATTCTTTCATTGAAGAATGAAATTGAATAATGATTAAAAAGAGTTGGGAACATTCAGTGATTGCTATGAGGCTTGTAAAGTCTTTTTTTATATTCTATTGTACAAACCATGGAGTTTTCGTCAATGGAGTCCAAGCCCATGACTGTAACGTGAAAGTAAACTACGGTTGGGTTGCCGTCCTTCTTTGGTGGTCTCATTTTGTCGTATAGTTTAGGGTCTTCTGGTAAAATGTCGTTGAACATCAGACCAACAGTTGACCTGAAAGTATGTCAAATATTAGTTTACTACTTGTGTATTACTATTACCGAAGATTCAGTAAACATCAGACCAACAGTTGACCTGAAAGTATGTCACATATTAGTTTACTACTTGTTCATTACTATTGCCGAAGAAACATACGACCAACAGTTAACTTTAGACCTAAAGTAAGTCAATATATAGGTATATTTTAAACTACGTAGAACCACCAGTTACACTTTTGATTACACAACATGTTTATGTTAGAAATCAAAACAGTTCAATTAATGGGTAACCTTAAAGCCTGCGCGCATTGTTATTTTTTCGATCAATATAAATTCGAATAACTTTATTCGTCGAAAATCATTTGCAATCCTTGAGACCTTGGGTTTATGCTACAACTATGAGAAATCTGCTATGTAAACCGTATTATAGTATCAAGCGTTTAGTCAGAGAACCTAAACACTAAAAGATAAGCTTTAAACATATTTTGCCAGGGAACATCTACAAATAAAACAAATTATATCAACGAAGTTAAGATGAGTTATTAATATACGCTATCAAAGCCAATTTATTCTTTAAGTGGATTATTGGATATCTTTCTGATAATAATAAATAATAATTACTGGCCTTTGGACTGTAAGAAAGAAGCAAGGTGCTTAAGATATATATAAGTGCGTTTTATCCATCCCGCTTTAAGGCCTCATTACGGACTATTGTTTCGTCATTTCTACTACTGTCTCCCCCTTCCTCAATTCAAGGAATACTCTTTAAGAAAAAGGTTCGCCAATATAAACCCCATAAAACTCTATGAATATTGTTTGGATATGTAGTAAAATGTATCTTGAGATAAAGTTTATTTGCGTTAAGATTCTCGATTCATTTAACTGTTCAAGTGAAGAACGTATACACATACAAATATGAGCTTTATTTACAACAGAAACCCAGGGAGAGAATTTCTGTGCACAGATTTGTAATGATGAATCAGCATAGCTTTAGGAAATCAGGCCTAAATATTAATAGTAAAATCAGAAAATAATGGTTTTATTTTACTGTGGATAACTTATGATTTCATAATATAATGAGATTTTTTTCCATGCCAAAAGATAATAGATATTGTTACAATTTTAAATTTTTCTTATAGAGTGATGAAAGACCAAAATATTAGTTTTTTGTAATTAAACTAACAATTTACAACACTTTCGATCTATTTTCATACATTCACTTTTTATTCAACCATAAAATAAAAATATTGCAGATCATATTTACAAATACCGGTTGGAGCTTATTTCACCATTGAATTCAAAGTATAAGTACTAGTACTGGTGGATTTTGAGTATAAAAACTGTATATTTACAAGCTCTAACCAATTTACATCAACAACTAGGGGATTAGGAGGTTCGCTACATCATTACAACATGTCAACTAGGGTATTAGGAGGTTCGCTACATCATTACAACATGTCAACTAGGGTATTAGGAGGTTCGCTACATCATTACAACATGTCAACTAGGGTATTAGGAGGTTCGCTACATCATCACAACATGTCAACTAGGGTATTAGGAGGTTCGCTACATCATTACAACATGTCAACTAGGGTATTAGAAGGTTCGCTACATCATCACAACATGTTAACTAGGGTATTAGGAGGTTCGCTACATCATTACAACATGTCAACTGGGGTATTAGGAGGTTCGCTACATCATTACAACATGTCAACTAGGGTATTAGGAGGTTCGCTACATCATCACAACATGTCAACTAGGGTATTAGGAGGTTCGCTACATCATTACAACATGTCAACTGGGGTATTAGGAGGTTCGCTACATCATCACAACATGTCAACTAGGGTATTAGGAGGTTCGCTACATCATTACAACATGTCAACTAGGGTATTAGGAGGTTCGCTACATCATCACAACATGTCAACTAGGGTATTAGGAGGTTCGCTACATCATTACAACATGTCAACTAGGGTATTAGGAGGTTCGCTACATCATCATAACATGTTAACTAGGGTTTTGAGGAGGTTTGCTACATAATCACGTTCACCTAGGGTATAATGAGGTTTACTACATCATCATAACATTTTAACTACGGTATTAGGAGGTTCGCTACATCATTACAACATGTCAACTAGGGGATAGGGTTTCAAAAACTGTTTAACGCCACTAGACGATGTTGACAATCCATTCCTTCTCAGAAGACATTTTCTCCTCAAACATATTCTACAATAAGACAAACGTTTGGCAATCCTGTCATGGTATAAACTCACTTTATGCAGACGATCCAGAAGAGGACGAGAAAGGCGGCCGGGGCGGGAAAAGGTTTCAGCACCATCGTGGGGAATATCCCTCCTGAGAAAACAATAGAGGACAAAGTAGTCTTGATAATAAAACACATAAATCGGGAACATTTTATCTATTTTGATCTATTGATCAGTTAGAGTGGCGAGAGGGACGCGCATGCGCACATTTACCTTTCCTCCACCACCGTAGTTTTTGTTATTTTGTGCAGTCTTCTTAGTAATTAATTAATTGCCTAATTGGATAGTGTAGTACTACTAATGTCCAGTGATTGGTGTTGTTTGGAGCCTCCCTTGTCCCTCTCACACGACATCCCAATTGATCTGATGTAGGCTATAGCCTATAATCAGTTGTGTGAATGTCAACATAGTTATTGCCCGAATGTTTTCCTTTCTCATTCTGATCCGTTATATCATTTTCGTGGTAAAAATATGCCATATTAAGTGTATAAAAATGTTATACCTGTAATTGATATAAGTTTTATTTCAGTTTTACTTTAAGAGGTTGCACCATCTCCAACTACTGTATGCAGGAGTTGCTTTCTATAGCATTTCATTGTCATATTCACTGGTAAATGATAAATGATAAAAGAACCTAATAAACTATCACAAGTAGATGAGTGGAATAGTTAAACTGGATAGCAAGATAGAAAACTAGTATATTTCACCAGTAAGGGAGTTTACATTTCTGTAGTCCCCGTGGTAATAAATCTGACCAGTAGCACTACTGTTTTATTCATTTGATAATTATTTTTAAATATAATGTTAAAGGCTTTTAAAATTTGTAAAAAAAGAACAAAATGTTTTCTCGCATAAAAACCCTCAATTGAACCAATGTTATTTACATGGGCGTGGGTTTAAATGTCAATTTTTAATAAGGAACTAGTTTGAATTTATTAAACGTTTGTTTATGAGTCTACAGGTCAGCTGGGATTGGGATGAGAAATGTTAAAACAGAATTATTAGTGTCAAACAAATATTGGCTTTATAAGTTTGCCAATTAAACTATTTGGGAACAAATTTATGCTAATTTAAAACGCGGTCAATTGCGGGATTGAAAACTGAAGAGAAATTTACAGCTAGTAAGTAGATGCGAGAGACAACCTTGGTACAAACAAACAATACACTCATCACAGCCATTACAATCCCTCCCAACACATTGTACAAACAAACAATACACTCATCACAGCCATTACAATACCTCCCAACACATTGTACAAACAAACAATACACTCATCACAACCATTACAATACCTCCCAACACATTGTACAAACAAACAATACACTCATCACAGCCATTACAATACCTCCCAACACATTGTACAAACAAACAATACACTCATCACAGCCATTACAATACCTCCCAACACATTGTACAAACAAACAATACACTCATCACAGCCATTACAATACCTCCCAACACATTGTACAAACAAACAATACACTCATCACAGCCATTACAATACCTCCCAACACATTGTACAAACAAACAATACACTCATCACAACCATTACAATACCTCCCTTTGATTGGCCATGGCTTAGTTTGGGTAAAATGTGCAAGATTTTTAACAGCTATGCCCAATTTGGTTAGATCCGGCTCTGTTCACCCATATAGGTAACATGACATGACGTTTCAATGGGCGATAACATCACTGTCACTGTTCTAGGGCTTTGGTCCTCTTCAGTCCCCACATTCGGTAATCAGCCTGACTTCGTTGAGAGCGAGTACATTTCATAGATTCAAAAGTTTTGCGAAGTTTCGGAATCTAGAATCTGAGAAGAACCAAGAAAAACTTTCCTGCAGAAGTATAATACTCCCGCCGCAGCAAACCTGCCGACTAAGCGAATTTACATTTGTCTGAATTGATTTTCAGTTAAATATATTTTAATAACATTAGGTTTAACGAGTACCTAGGTTTGCTGCTACAAGGAAACTAATAAAGTGTGTTTTTGAGTAAAATATTTATAGCTTAGTACAAAATTAATAAATTTGCCAAGTTTGATAAAAATATATCCATAAACAAGCAAACTACAACATTTGACAATATTCTCCATAAGAATAACATGGGAATTTTAAATTTACAATTTTTTTTTATTTTCTCCGTTACTAATAATCGAACAAAAATACTTTTATATACTAAATTATTTGTTTTTTTGAGCTCTTTAAAAAGGTCTAAGGAGAAATCAGGAAATTTTGTGTTTTGAGGGTCAAAAGTGAGAAAAACCAATTTTTACCCCATAAAACCCCCCGTAAAGCCCCGTTCCCATGGTCCGATCGTGCTGGTTCGCGAACTCATTCAAGTTTATCCCGCTTTACACCTTTAACACGTTCGCTGCTGGCGTTGTATTTTTACAACGTGCCTACCCGGCGCCAGGAGCTAGCGTTGTACATATACAACGCTGTGTCATTGCTGTTTAACGTTTCCATGGATCAGCCAGCTCGTCACGAGCGTCCTATATTTCTTTGCAGCTCGTGGGGACGTACTTTTCTGACAATAAAAAATATAGTTTCCCAAAATCCCCACCAGGGTCGTTTAGAACAGGGCTTTGTCCCCACCTCTTTTCTGCTAGATAGCGACACTACTTTACCGACTGCAACCTGGGTAATGCTACTATCTATCAGAATCGCTTGGTACTATGTCCAAAGCCAGTTTTATTGCAGAACATTGCCATCCAGTATAACTACTGTTGTTTTTACTGTAATTCAGTGTAAGTCAGCAATGTTTATGCAGCGACAAGCGTTAGTTCAGCTCCTGGCGCCGTCCCGGCATCTAGCGGTCAGCAGCGAACGTGTTAAACCAAATTTCATCAAAATCGGACAAAAATTACTCAAGTTATCGCGTTCACGGACGTATATATATATATATATAAGTCTATATATATATATATATATATAAAAGTCTATATATATATGTCTATATATATATATATATATGTCTCTATATATATATATATATATACATATATAAAAATTTGAACGAATGGTGTTTTTGGCCTCTGGGGACATCAAAATGAAAAAGTAAATCGGTCCCGGGTCTAGGTCTTACCGTGCCACCTACGGTAATAGCTACTTCCCTATAGGGAAATTCGCTAAAACAGGGTAAATTAGTCAAACGATTTTAAAAGATGGCCTTTGCAGCTAAAGGTAAGCTTTGAACAAAAATTTAAATATTGTACCAGAATAAATAGGAAATATAGAGACAGACAATTACAGCAAGAGCCTCAATTCCTTCCATATAGTATAAGTGTATCTCATTTAGATAAGTGGAAGTTGATAGTTAAGAGAAGGTGAGATATTGCTGGGAAACTTTGAAACCCCACTTCAACAAACTTCTATTTCGTTACCATTATTACTTCGTGTGACCTAAAAATTAGACATATTCACACAGCTTTCTTATTATTTCTTTTATGTGGTATACTGAACATGTAATAAAATTCAGAATTATGTACAATACTCCGATAGTCAAGGCAATCACAAAAATCGTTTATACTCCAAGTCCTGAAATATATATAACACCCTACATTATGTGCTGTATGAATATGGGCACATTTTGGGATTGAGAGCTTGATTATGTAAAAAAGTTAAAATCTGTCATAGAAAACCACAATGCCATAAATAAGCTCGGATGATGACCTTAAGTAGTATAACCTTATCTCTAGAATTAAAGTGTCAAAAAGGCTGGATGTAAAGGAAGACAAAAAAGTGACTGCTACAAGTAGAACTGGAGCTTAAAGTCCTTCTGAATATATTCCAAGTATCTCATTTAGATAATTGTAAGTTGAAAAGCAAGAGGAGGTAAAGTATTGCAGAGAAAATTAGTGTGAAGATCCTCAGTGCCAAAGATGCTCCCAGCTGCAATATATTGGATCATAGGGATGAAAAGTTAAGAATAAAACACCCACATTAGGCATAACCCCTTAATTTTGCCACATTTTAGAGGTTTTATTCTTTAATCTATAATATATTTAATGAATATTCCTGGAATATAGATGTTCAATATACCAACCAAATTGGTTCACTGAAGTTAAGCTTTTTGTTAGTTACATCTCAGATCATATATATTTCCTAAAAACACTTCAAGTTTTCAAAAATGTCAACACATATTGTTTTTTTTTTTTTGATAGGGAGTCCTACTCAGTATTTCTAAGTATTAACATAAATCATCCTTATGGGTAATCTGAGAACAGTTTTAACGTTAGTTCCATCCGCTTCATGTATGGGGAAGTTTTCTTGTTTTCATGTTGTTTCACATATTTTAGAATTATTTTTCCACAATAAACCTATACAACTATAAACAGTAGCTTGTCCTCTAGTCTTATGACAAAACAAATAAAAAAAATCTACCATAGAATAAAGGAAAAAATGTTAGTCAACATAGGAGTTCAACATCACCAATATGGAACATACAGTGTGTAAATTAAGTATGGAAACAAATCTGTATTTTTAAATCCGAAATAGATAGATATATTTTGTTTATGGCATTGATTGTTAACAAAGATTCCGCAATCGTTTGTATCAAAAATATTTTTAACCCTCCTAATAGGGTTGGGGGCAGGAGGTAACTTATTTTTGTCTAATAGCAACCCCTATTATTGAGTGACCCCTCATTTTGAAGGGTTTGTCTAGAGAAATACAATGACGCAAACCCGAGGTAAATATCTCGCCCCTAGCCAAAATCGCAGGCATTCTAAAATGTGTTTTTTGCAAAAAAGCCAGACTGTATTTTTTTGACCGAAATGGATAGAAATATTTTGTTTGTGGCATTGATTGTTAACAAAGGTTTTCGGGATTTTTACATCAAAAATATTTTTAACCTACAATTGGTGACAAGTTTTTCCAAATAGCACCCCCTCTTGAGTGACCCCTCATTTTGAAGGGTTTTTAAAAATAAATTATGCAAACCCGATGTAGATATCTCACCCCTATCTAAAATGGCAGGTATTCAAAATTTTGAATTGGTGGAATTGGTGTTTTTTTTCCACATAAATCAAATTTTGGAATACCTGCCATTTTGACTAGGACTGAGATATTTACCTCGGGTTTGTGTCATTGTATTTCTCTTGACAAACCCTTCAAAATGAGATGTCACTCAATAGGGGTGTTGCTATGTCCTGTTAGGGGGGGGGGGAAATATTTTTGATGTAAAAGATTGGTGAATCTTTTTCAACGATCAATGTCAAAAACATAATTTTTCTTTCTATTTCGGTTTAATAAATACATATATGTTTCCATACTTAATTTACACAGTGACACTGTATATATAAACAGGCTTCAGATTTTTGCTAGGATGAGAAATCTACTTGTTTTATTCAAAGTAAATTGTATTAATTAGTAATCAGGATTGGTTTGATGTATTTCATGTTGACTTATGTTATGTGCAATACAGGTACAAAATCTTGTCACCTGAAAATTGATTAACTCACTTTTTCCACAAGTTTTATTTTCTAAGGATTTTACTTGGACATTTAACTGTACAAAGTATTACTAAGCTACACTACTTACTGAGGTGGCCTAGCAGTAACGGATGGGGTGGAGAACCTCAGAGTGAGTTGAGGCCGTGCGACCCATCGTATATACTGCACAAGGACTTGTTACTGGAACCGACTGTGACTGTTATGCTGTTTCTCAGTAGGGCAACAAAGAATCACCTATTATATTCAAAGACATTAGCTGTTCATGTGTGTAGCTGTACAAGAAGAAAATAGTCTTGCTTAAAAAAAATATTCGTATACCTATAAACGCTTAGATGTGTTTATTTTATATTATGTTATATTATATATTTCATTGCAAATACCCACTTTATCGTCAGCTAGACGGATAAAAATTGTAAAATGATTTTGTTAGTGAAACATTTATGTAATAATAATAACAATAATAATAATAATAATAATAATAAAATGCCTTTATTTAAAGCGGTCTTCAGCCAAAACTGGTTTTCAAGACAACTCAAGTCACGAACAGTTTACAAGTACACAATAATTACAAACAGTGAAACTAAACTAGCTTTAAATTGGCCTTAAATGAATTACGTGACATGATTTTCATATTTCTTGGGAGGGTGTTGTATGCCTGGGGTCCAAAGTATGAGAACCCCTTTTTACCTATCTCACGCCGCACTCTCGGCATTTCAAGCAAGCCGTCCTGCCTACTATTAATAGTAGTACAGCATTCCCTAACTGATGTTCGAGGCATGAGTTTCCTTTTCAGGGAGGCAAATTAGAAGACGATTGTGTCTTGTGAACAATTAAAACAGTTTGTAGAAAACATTGTTTTTCCAAAGAGAGTACCTTAGCCTGTTTGCGATAGGCAGATATATGATCAAACTTCCTCAGATTGAAGACAAACCTTAGGGCTCGGTTTTGCAACCTCGTAAGAAGAACTCTATTGTCAAGAGTAAGATATTCACCAAACGATGGAAGTGCATAGTGAATAATAGGGAAGACTGTTGATTTGATAAATTCCAGCTTAGCATGTTCAGATAGTATCTCTCTCTAAAACGGTGTAAAATTCTCAACCTATTTGAAACTCTCTGACAAATGTAACTAACATGTGAGCGAAAATTGAGTTGAGAATCAATTCTGATACCTAACACCTTAACAGAATCAGACACCACAAGAATTTGACCGCTCTACCTTTCCAACAAGACTATTTTAGGCTGCAAACCAGAAGACCAGAAATGAAGCACAGTACACTTTTCAGGATTCAATTTTAGACCGTGATCGTCAGACCATTGCTTTACCCTTAGCAACTCAGTGTTGATGAGATTGACTGCTTCATGAAAATCAAAAGGGGCTGGGAAAGAACTAGTTGACAATCATCAGCGTAGGAATGTAAAGTAGAGAATTTCAGAATGCTATCGAGGTCATGGGTATAGCATTCTGAACTTCTGTTGGTTCTGCATTTATTATTCTGTTGGTGGAGTTATACATATTGCATATAAATAACAGTAACATTAGTTCGTATATAATATCAAAACAAGAAGGAAACCATTTTGGAAGATATTTATAAAGATAAACTATGTTCGATATTGACTTTTCGTGAGTTCTTGAAAGAATGGTGCAGTATAAAGAAAATTATGGTTCGTAACACCGAATAAAAGTGTCTTGGCTTCACCTAGGTCGACATAACAAAATAATGTCTTTATTCGTGATATAATTTCAGTAAACAGTGTTTCTAATTGACTCAAGTCAGGAATAAACCAAACAAAAATATCACTATAAAACACAAATGAAATTAAATTACAAATGTTAAAGGCTAGTCATAAGGTTGTTGAAAGTGACAGTGTTCTTAGATGCTGAGCTGGCCCGAAGTATATACTATTATTTATCTAGCTTATTTATTTTTGAATTAAATTATACTGGAAAGTAGTTATACAGATTATCGCGGATCATACGTGCCATTGTTTATTAAATTATAACTAAGAATACAGAACCTTCACTTTTGTCAAATAATTAATTAATAATTTTTTAATTATTCATAATGTTCCAGTTTTAAGTGGCGTTTTCCACCCCTCCGTTCAGGTAGTAATGTTGAGACATGCTATTCCACAGACAGTCTTTAGTGTTAAGGACTAAAACATATCAGATGAAATCTGGGTCAGACAGTTCCCTCGTAACGGAAGCAATTTTGTGGGAATCAATGGCACTGCCTACTTGGAGCTCTGGGTGTTCGTCAGTAAGAAACCAAACACAATCTAAATCGAACCGTTCTTGATATAAGAACATTCAAAACAAGAACACCCAGTCACTAATAAGATCACTAATAACGCGACATATGCTAAGAAACGTTTGGGGATGCGTAGGAAATATGAGAAAGTAGGACATCCACCAAATTAAATATTAATGAGTTTAAAACGTTATAATATATTGCCTGATAAATTTAAGAACACAGGCTCCAGTAATACAGCTTATTCAAATATATTTAGTTAGAAAACTATTTGTTTTACCCATAAACACGATGTGTGTTTTTAAAGAACATGTGGTTGAAAATAATTTATTATATAAGATCGTGACAAACTGGTGTGCTATTTAATACGAAATCGATAAATGGACTAAGAACAAAAATAAAGAAGGCTAAAGGAAGATGTCTGCGTATATAGTTGTAATCAATTCAAGTGAATACAATGAAAACTGGTTTACACACACATACATTACAACTGAATAGAAATTGTACCTTCAATCATTTCTGGGCCTCTAATCATTGTTAACTAAACTACGTTTATAAACACAAATATTCGAAAGTTTTATTTTTTGTTCATTTTTTCTGAACCTGCACTCAGACATATTTTGCAGATTCCTTAAAAATTTAAATGTCGTGAAAACTGATGTTTAAGAGAACCTTAAGTTTTGATCTGTAAGTCCCAATAAACACCTAGTAATTGAAAACGTAAATGACGTAATATTGTTCAAACTCATTTTTAAAGAATATCTACCAACTCAAAATATATATTTATATGAGGAAAAATAATTTAAATTTACTTGAAATTCGGGAAGGTAAAATTCGTTTAGAAAAAGGATAGATCAAGAGTACTTCTGAGGTAAAATATTTATTTATTGTTTCATCTGACCAGCCAAGACTTTCTCGGACTTTACAATATTGTTGGTTATATAGTTATGACCTCTCGTAGCTCTTGCCATAGTTATACGTATAATACCTGACACCATTGTAGCTATGAATCCGAAATACTTTTTTATAAGAATGAATACTCAAGATGGCAACGTAAGACAACTAGAGATATTTACTAAGTATATAAATAAAATAAACCCTAGCCTACATTTTACCATAGAATTGGAAATTAACGACAGGTTAAACTTTCTTGATAATAAAAACAGACTGATAATTAAACTTTCTGTATTAATTCAAACAGAAAACTCATTTGAATTTGAAAATCTACAGAAAACCTACGCTAACCGACACAACCATCCATGAAACTTCACACCATCCTACAAAACAAAAAATGGCAGCATATAACAGTTTTGTTCACCGGTTGCTCACGATCCCATTAAGCCAAGATAATTTCAACAAAGAACTAAACACGACAAAATACATTGTCCAAAGAAATGGGTTTAAAACCGCCATGATCGATAAACTTATCAAAAACAATTAAATAAAAAACCAATAATAACAGATTAGATAGCCCAATTGACAAAATGTTCGTAACGTCAGAGTATGGTACAAGGCTACCGAATATTCTGAAAAAAAAAACGAATTAAAAAATAAAAACATCGGGGTAGCGTTTAGAACTTCCAACAAACTACAACGATTACTAAATCCATCGTCCAGTAATAATCTAGATACAGGGGAAAACTGGAATTTATAGATTATCTTGTGATGATTGCAATAGTTTTTATATAGGACAAACCGGCCGTGCCTTCAAAACCAGATTCAAAGAACACCTTCCAAAAGCAAAAATAATTTAAAATTCAATTATGCAGCCCATCTCATTAATGAAAATCATAACTATACAAATTTCGAAACAAACATGACACCCCTACATTTTTGCACAAAAGGAAGCTTCATGAACGCCATAGAAGAATACGAGATATACAAAGCAACAAAAAGCCATAGTTATGATCTATTAAACGACAAACTAAATTTCCAGTCAAATGCATTGTATGATACTGTAATAGCTAACCAGGAACAGCTGACCGGCAAGGGACAAAGTTCACGACACCAACCTTCACCGCTGCAGTCATGACAAACCTGTCTTTTACCTTTTATAATCTAATTGCCTACTCAAGATCTGTATAAAAGAAGTTGAACATATAAATGGAAGAAACCTACAGCAAATGAATTTGAATGTTTATTTGACCAATTATAAACAAATCACGCTCGCAATGTATTTAACGATTAAATTTGACTCACTACATTTTCTCTGACGACTTTTTAAATTGAATTTGATTATTTATTCGTAATTTTGAGGCCTGCGTTATTACTGTAGTTAAAAGTAAAAAAACAAATATAAACTGCAATTAAAAATAGTAGTTGTACAAGCTACTTCTTCATTTTGTTAAAACAGTTCCTGATAAACTGATAGACTACTAAGTATACAAGTAATTATCTTAGCCGATACATGGACTAAGAACAAAAATAAAGAAGGCTAAATAAGAAGGCTAATTCCTATTGGTTATGTTGTATTATCTTAGTAAGTTTCCCAGTAAGTATCTAAGCATTCAAGTAAGTATGCAAGTAATTATCTAAGTAAGTATCCGAGTAAGTATACAAGTAATTATCTAAGTAAGCATCCCACTAAGTATCTAAGTAATTTTCCGAGTAAGTATCTAAGTAAGCATCCCACTAAGTATCTAAGTAATTTTCCGAATAAGTATCGAAGTAAGTATCCGAGGAGGTATCTAAGTAAGCATTGAAGTAAGTTTGCAATTAATCATCTAAGTAAGTATCCCAGTAAGTATCTAAGTAAGTTTCCGAGTAAGTATCTAAGTGAGTATCCGAGTAAGTATCTAAGTAAGCATTCAAGTAGGTATGCAAGTAATTATCTAAAAATAGTAGCTAAAAAAAATATAAGAATTCAAGTAAGTATACAAGTAATCATCTAAGTAAGTATCCCACTAAGTATCTAATTAAGTTTCCGAGTAAGTATCGAAGTAAGTATCCGAGGAGGTATCTAAGTAAGCATTCAAGTAAGTAT